TCGAACACGTGACCATGCGTGTGTGAAGTGCGTCACTTGCCACTACACCACATCCACCTGACTGTTATAGATAACACTCCAAAATGTTCCAATGTGTTTTCATCACATCGGGAATGATGGACTTGTCGAAGCCTCAAGCGAAATCAATGCCCCACCATTGAAAACCCATCTGACATAGAAGCACTGAATAGCCTCAGTTCTAAAGAAAGACGAGCATGGAAAATATTCAATGAGCTCTGGTTTCGTCGCAGGGCACAAGTGACCGAATTCAAGGGAAACTTATGTTAATATAAAAATGATGATGGAACGTTGACACGGGGGGCAGGTTCGCATAGACAGCTCTTTCTGGCACGGCACGGAATATAATGAAGAACGAGTGGATATATTCAATTTTTCTGCCAATTTCGATCCTTCCGATTTTCGCTGAGGTGGTTTGTCGATAATCTGCTGGCGATCGTAGGTTTCATAAAGTGATAGCCTCATCTCGTGACCTACCTATAGTCTTACAGTATTCCATTAATTAAATTGTGGTCACAGATATAGCAAATCTATTTTATCCTGCTGTAAACATGACATACATATGCAATAACTTTTCACCCTACCCGCTTTCATGGGGATAGTGTTATATTAAAGGTTTCCGAGATGAAGAACTCTAATGGTAAGTTTCTGTAGAACGACGAAGTCAGTTTTCTTCTCATAATTCCTCAAAAAAACAAACGGATCTCTACTTATCAGGGTTTTGAAGGGTTTTCGATAAAATAAACGAGATGGTTTTCATATTCGTGAATGAGGCGTTTTTTCCTTATCAAAGGATTACAGCAACTACGTCCAAAGAAAACATGGAAGGGTAAAGTATAATATTTTGACGTTAACCGACCCGTCTGGGGCGATGCCTCCTGCATTCGATCCAGATCAGACTCGTAGTGACGTATTGAATGCTTATTCCGCCTACAGATGCAATGACTTGGGTAACCGGTCGTTAGGGCTTTTGTCCTACCAGACGAGTCTGCTACCAATTAACCAACCCTAGAGGGTTAGAAGGTTACCAAATAACCTACCCCGGAGGCAAGGAAGGCTTGGTTGGTCTAGGAGAGTATCAATCCGGGATTCAAACCCGTGCCCTTGCGTGTGTGATAGTGCGCCAGTTGCCACTCCACCACCTCCGCGAGTACTTGTGCTAAGCTCCCTTTAGTGAGCGGGGGTCTCATATGCCACAACTGCCAGTTATTCTTAGAACCCGCGCGATCCCGCAGAAACAACAGACGTAAAGAAAACATATCCTTCCTTTTAGCCTATCTCAACAAAACTCCGAGAGAGATCTAGCGAAAAACGGGGTTATACGTACGCACCTGTGCACTGCAAAGGTCCTTGAACGGCATCGTTAATTGAAGTTTTTCTCTAAGATATACGGAATCTTGTTACTGCTTGAGTTGGGGAGTTTTTGTCCCCTCCACTTGGATGCTTGTAAGGAAAGTAAGATATTAACATTCAGTTTTCAATGGGAATTTTTCGAGAATTATGAATAGCATCGAGGATGCTCGAGCAAAAGCGTGCTAACAAACATCATAGTCACCTCCTAAGACTCACAAACATATATAGTCAAATTGTTAATCAAGACTGAGGGAAGCATTCAATAAGGAAACGCTGTAAGCACCTGAGCTCTCAGAACACTTTCAATGGAACAGGATACTGTTTCTTTAGATGAGGTACCGAGAAAGGTGTGGAAGGTACAGAGAGGGCACTGGAGCAGGTGATTCGCTCGGTTATCGAATATTGTATTATAATTGAAGAATGGAAAAGCAGCACTATCGCCTATATCAGAACGGAAAAGCACAGCAGTGTTCAAGCCATGCCAAGTAAGTATGTATGCCAAGTCTGCTAAGAAAATTTGCGACTAAGCTGAAACAACTTTCTCTCTTCTCACAAGACGATTCGACTTTATCCCCAGAAACGACGGATGCAACCTTTTCAGCTGGATAGGTAGGGAAGTAGAGACAAAACTGGGTCTTCCTCGATCTGGAGCATCATAGTTCATTCGGCCGCTTGACGCAACATTCTGCGAAGGGTGCTCCGATAAAGTAACCTTTTAGATATCCTACCAGTTTTGAGGCACCTGTGCTCTCGTGCACCAGGCTCCTTCCTCCGAAACTTTTCTGGAGTCGGCTTTGGTGAAGTGAATGGAGACCAGTAGCAACATCTACATTAGAGGGCTAGAACATCATGAAATCCGTCTTGTACGTCTACGATCAGCGATGCGTCAGTTGTGTTGTTCGTGGTGGCGAGAGAAACGAGTGCACTGCTGGAATTTCGAAATATGTATTGTCCTCCTGAACTTGCACTATTTTTGTTGGAGATTTCACTCCACACTAGAGTCCTCAAAGCACATGAAAACTTCATGATTTTACCACAAAACTATGAAGACGATAGCAGCCCCGGTGATCCTGATACTGCACATCTGAAAAGATTTGCTTTTTTTTAGGCCACTGTCTACTCGATCACGTGAATGCTCGAAGAATATGCATAGAAAGGCCATAGCGTTCCTGAAAAACGGGTACCAAATGGCGTCGTTAACCTAAACCATGCAGCGATTTTCCAGGCGCCAAAACTTACGGCACGAGAGCGACGACAACTTTTTGGTGAGAGCATCCTGCATCGGATTTGTGACAGCCCTGGAGAAAGAAATCATGAAAGCACTGGAGTCATCAATGCGGAAATGCAGCTAGATGACCGCTCTGGGGCCGATTCCATGGAAAAAGATCGTCGCCTCAGGATCCGAGCGTGACGGATTGGATCGGTGTCCCATTTTCATTTCATGTTTCCCCCCAAGCAGGTCCACTCGTTCGGATTTCCAGTTTACATTGGTAAGATGTGACAACCATGACGCGGTTGACTGCATGGCATCGAATACCAAAATTTTCCAAAGGTATACACGAGAACAAGGAAGACCCTATTTCAAACAAGTTATGTTAAAAATTCCTTTCCAAATAGAGCAAAGCGTAGTGAGTTTCCGCTAGTGAGGAAGAGGAGCCTAGCGTTGGGGTAACGAGATTGATGGTAAGAGGCTATTGCATCAGATTAAGATCGATGTCGAATAAATTGGTGTCCCATTATAACATAGTGACCGTTTCTTACCTGAAGCTCATTAATACTTTCAAAACTACGGGTCCTGAACGAGTTCAACAGGAACCGCTTTGCTGTAAGAATAGCATATCCTCTTGCAAAATATAAGTAAACGAAAGATCAGACGAAAGACGATTATTACGTATTACCGCCATGAGAGTATGATTTTTTCAAACTTTCCCGCTAAGAAAATTAGTTAACCCCTTGTGCAGTCGATATTTTTAATCTATACTATAGATGTTTGGTGGATTTCAAGAAGAATGTGCTATACCCAAGTGTAAGTGTGAGAAAGGTGTTTCTCTGACACCTCCACTTGCGGAAGTCTTCGCTAATACTTCCCATTTTCGACTCCCTAAGCCATCATTCAGGACATGAGCAAGATCTCTAAGAGCTAACTGTACCCCAGTCTTGGTCGTAACACTTCACTGCTCTACTTCGATCGATCTGCTTATAACTTCTCATGTTATTCTAAGAATGCCTTAAACTTTTCAGGTATATAGATATATTACTGACTGGATCCCTCGTGATATCAAACGATCTTCAGGGCGGCCGCCAACGAGATGGTCAGACTTCTTCACGAAATCTCTAAACGAAAGGAATGTTTAACCTCGTGTCCCTAAAGCAAGTACGATTTACTGGACCTCTCTGGCTCGTGACAGAGACGAACGGAGTCGTTACTGGCGCCCGCTCGAGGAAATCAGCGATCAACGGGATCGCAGGTGATTCAGGTGATATAGATATATGTTTGAGCACCATAGTCATCTCAACACTTCCGCGATTTCACTTGATTGCCTTTGTCACATCGTCATTCTCGATCTCGTTGTTATTGCAAGGTGGAGTGGCGCTATTCCAGGGCAAGAACAAATCGCTGACTGTCACAAAATGTTGCAAGAAATAATTGCCATATTCATTGAGATTCTTTTGTGGTAATATTGCGAATCCTCGGCGACAGGAAACCGGCCTTTATTTTTTCACTCTTCCCAGTTTCTCCCCTACGAGTCTCGTAAACAAATCAGGATCTGTGACCCAGATTCGGCGCACTTTGCTCCAGTAATTCCTTTCATGTTCCTCTTGATTCTGCAATGATCACATTGTGAAAAGGAACGGAGCGCAGCGTAAGGTCAAGCATCGCGTCCATCTCTTCTCTCAAAGAAGGATTCTTTCACTATTTGAGGAATGGGCGGATGAATGCCTTCTCTGGTAACAAGTTGCAACAAAATATAAGAAAAATTTCGAAACCGTCTTTCATCTCAGGAGATCACACTGTTCATTCCGGTCAGGGACCTTACTCACGCACCGCACCCACCCCTTTCACAGAGCAGTTTTGGAATACAGGCCTTTAAATTTGTATTGCATAAGGTGTGAAAATATCCAATCGATAATCGCGCTAATTCCAGAGAGACCAAGCTCATGATATGCGGACATGTTCGGAAGGACGACCGACCGTGCTTGCATTTCGAGGTAACGAGGTCAAGGTTCTGGCGAAGGCGCCCAAAGAAAAAACGCAGTCGTCCGCTACGGGCCCGCGTCGGCCCCGGTCGTTCTTACCGCAGACATCCGCGCATGGGTATAATTTACACTAGTACCCACTCTCCCTATTCAAGGATGGTCTTCTAGATCTTCAGTCAACATTCTCCAAAACGTTTTCCTTTACGCAGGAATAGAAAAGAGAGCTGTTTCTATTGAATAACGCATAATTCATGTAACTGCTAACATGCCAATCTCTAGCAGTCGAGCGGATAATAGCCCTCATTGCGATTGCTGCAAGAAATAAGGCCATCGGTCATCGCTGTTGAAATTCGTGTCTCCCTCTTATTTCGTTCTCGCATTCCTCCCATTGCCTACCTCTCGTCATCATTCGAAAACTTCTGATTTCAGGAATGTTGCGAGCTGCGCTGCTGTTGGCGTTGAGCTCCTCAGTTCTGGCCGTGTTTGAGTGTTCTAATCAAGAAACAACAGCATTCGTGCGTATCGCTAGAGCTCGACTTGATGGAACTCCTGTGGTCGTATCCACCGCCGGTATGTCAACATGTTGACTATTCTTTTATAATATTACTTTTATACTAGTAAAGTTATATGATGAAAAGTCATTTTGTTGCAATCCCCATGATTTTTCATCTATATTTCCTATATTCCTTTAAATACTTATAACATTTCACGATGCTAACATTATGTCTCTTAGGCCACGATCTCACATGCGCTCAGTACTGTCGGAACAACATTGAGCCCACTACTGGTGCTCAGCGAGTTTGCGCAGCGTTTAACTTTGACGGGCGTGAGACTTGCTATTTCTTCGACGATGCCGCTTCTCCAGCTGGTCAGTTATCGCTACATTTTAGTTGATTCTCTTTTCTGCTCTGTGGATGTCTCTGAAACTGCCCTTTTCCAGGAACCAGCCAATTAACTGCAAATCCGTCAGCAAATAACTTTTACTACGAAAAAACCTGCCTACCCGGCGTTTCTGCTCATGAAGCATGCACCTACCGGTCATTCTCTTTCGAGAGGATGAGGAAAACCGTCTTGGAAGGATTCGTCAGAAAGAGTGTTCAGGTCTGTTAAGAGGACATCGCTTTTTGTTAACGTATAATGCGTTGTTTCCTCGAGAAAAACTTCATTTTATCTATACTAACTTAAAATGTAAGCAGGGTAAGGAAGAGCCCATGTATTTATACGAATGTGGATTGAAACTTTGTGTTTGTCCCCGGAAACGACCCAATAGTTCCAAAAGCAAGTGATCGAAAACGAAATGTCATCGTCGCACTAGGTATTGGGGTCAATGTGTCGTCGAAGAATTTCGCGAACTATTAAACTTTTCGCCGCAATCGGTAAAGACAGGACTAAGTGGAGAGAAATGAGCGAGCAAGTAATGATTAGTTTGGGGGAAAGGAATTAATATTAAAACAAGAATAACACATTGTACGTGTGAGTGCTGATAAGTTAAGCCATGGCATATAAGCCATTAAGAAGGCATGGGCAGGCGGGGTCTCGGTAGCGTAAGGGATAGAGCACGGTGTCCGGAAAGCACAAGTACAGGTTCGAGTCCTGTCCGAGGCTGGAGTTTTGAATCATCAAGTACGAGCCAGGATATGTGAATATCCATTTTCAGCATTCACTGTTTACTGCCTTATCCTCCTTTCCTGAAAACTTTTGAGATCATGAAAAATGTAATCATCCTCCAGGTAGCTAATCGTGAGCAGTGCTTGTCCGCTTGTCTAAAGGAGAAGGAGTTCGTCTGCCGTTCCGTCAACTACAATTATGATTCCTTCCTCTGTGAATTGAGTACAGAGGATAGAAGGTAATCATTGGAAAATCTTTTCCTCTTCATAATATGATTGGGAGTAACACATGGCAGAAGTGTTACAGATCGAAACCGACACATCTTCGTATGNTACGAGCCAGGATATGTGAATATCCATTTTCAGCATTCACTGTTTACTGCCTTATCCTCCTTTCCTGAAAACTTTTGAGATCAAGAAAAAGGTAATCATCTTCCAGGTAGCTAATCGTGAGCAGTGCTTGTCCGCTTGTCTAAAGGAGAAGGAGTTCGTCTGCCGTTCCGTCAACTACAATTATGATTCCTTCCTCTGTGAATTGAGTACAGAGGATAGAAGGTAATCATTGGAAAATCTTTTCCTCTCCATAATCCGATTAGGTGTAACACATGGCAGAAGTGTTACAGATCGAAACCGACACATCTTCGTATGGCCGAGGGTGCCGTCGACTACTACGACAACAACTGCCTTTCTCGTTAGTTTGATAAATACTAGGAGGAAGTACCATACCGCATGCATCCCGATTCTGATTAGGGACTACTTAGGTCAGAACCGATGTGGTCCGTCTGGTGGGAACCTTGTGTTCGTGAAAACTACTAACTTTGAGATTCGATTCTATGATCATACGCAGTCCGTGGAAGCTCAGGAGTCGTACTGCCTTCAGAAATGCCTCGACTCTCTCAATACCTTCTGCCGGTAAGGAAATCTGAAAACCCTTGGTCCTAATTTGAACTCAAATTGTCATTTTAGATCAGTCGAATTCAATCCAACAGAGAAAAACTGCATTGTCTCGGACGAGGACACATTTTCTCGAGCCGATCAACAGGGCCAGGTGGTCGGCAAGGACTACTATGAACCTATTTGTGTTGCAGGTCAGTTCTAAATGATTTTCTTCCCAGAAATGAAGAGAGTGAGCAAAATCGCTGTATCTTGCATTGCACATCTTAACAGAAAACGAAATGATCATTAAAACTACAAAAAGTTAGAATCTATGAGCCCCGCATAGGACCTCGATTGTTACTTATTGGATACTCGGAATTTCCACCCCTGTTCTTTGTCACTTTGTATGACAGTGTTGTTCACAATTTCGTTTCGATTACTTCCATGACGTCATGCGAGAGCCGTTGAAGACGTCTCTCGTCATCATCACACAGTAGAAGTGAAATATTACGAGTAATCGTGAGTACAGTGATGCGAGGTGCTGCAAAGTAGGGCATTCACGATTGCTATGACTGATAAAGAACGTCGAGGGTGGTGACCTTCACCCCATTCCGTCGACTTTCTCCCATGGTCAGATGATTAGGATAAAAAATCCAAACGATGAGTTGCCCAAGAAGGTGGCAGCCGTATGTGTTTTGGCATGGACTTGCTTTCGTTAAGTAGACTGTTCAAGAATTCAATAGGGTACTTCTGGAGGTTTTGAGAGTTACGTTGGAAAGATTTTGGAGAAAAGAGTGTTGTCAGTCTGATCTCTAACAGCTTTTACAACTCGCTTCAAGGTTAGCAAACTGGGAAATTGCATCTTGTTGCGAAGGATTCCCAGGGCTACTTCGAGGTCCATGCGCGGAGGGTCAAATATTCCTCAATGCTCGATCCCAAATGGCCTTTAAGTAGAAGTCTAGAATGAAGAGTATTCTGTGAGATGCCTAATTCAGCGGACCTATCTTCTTCCACCTGTCGACAACAGGCTGCGTTCGAGCGATTCATTGGCTCGTCGATCGAGGGCGAGGTGAGTGATTTTTATGAGTGCTACACTTTAAGATTAGAGCATTCGGATCTAGATAGTCGCATCGGCTCAAGGAGTGACAATCGCTGACTGCATTTCGCTCTGCTTCCAGAACCTCAATTGCAAGAGCATTAACTTTGACAGGTGGGGACTTCTATCTTCGCGTACATTATCCACCTTGAGGAATCTTAAATCTACGCAGCAATGTTAGACCGCTTTATATTTTCCTTCATAAGTCGGTTTGTTGGAGTTGAATGTGTTTTTAAATATAACCGATCAATTTCTATGATCCTTAAAAAATTTGGAAGAACTTCGTTCTGTAAAAGCATGGTTTGCTAGAATACCCTCTACTTGAAGGGGTACTTCGTGCAGAGGTTAAGAGACAGGGAAGCAATCGTTTGAACGATCCCGGGCTACATTCAGTGCTTCGCAGAAATTTGACTGCATGCCTTGGTTTCCTTCTGTATATATCTTGTAAATTACTGAAACTTTTCTTCATAATCGAAATTTAATGTGTGTTTGTTTTAAAGGAACTTTCGGCTGGCAATGGAACAAAGTTTTGTTGAGGACTATAACTTCTTAGCGGATAGTTTGTAGAAAAGTTAGGCTCTTACGCTATTACTGACAAAATAAGAGACAACCATTTGAAGTAACAGGTTGTGGTGTTTGTGTTTCCTTTCCTATTAGAATTCACTGCTGTTTTGCGGCAATTACCGTAACCCTCCTCTGTTTATTTGATGTCACAGTTCACGCTAATTTTGAGGGGTTTTTTTGTTGGAAAGTGGAAGTGTTGGGGTGAAAATCGGTGACGAAAAAAACGAGAAAAACTACCGACTTGCGAAAAATACATTCTCCGAAATTAGTGGAAATAGAGGTCGTTCGAGGCCACATTGGTGTGAATGACATGGATGGAATGTTAGGACGACATCTCAGTTGTTGCCATGGCGTGAAGAGCTGACTAAATTAGGTAAAAATATCCAAAACTGCCTTGATGGCGCCATAGACCAAAATTAGTTGTTTGAATTTCCAACATGAAAGGCCTTTCTTCTGAATTGTGCAGCCTATATGTACAATCTCGGTTAAGTCGTCTGCCTTAGGGATAAAGCCGATACAATCTTTTATAACGTCTTGTCTAGCCGTTTTTCGATCTGACAGCGCCACAAATGGTATACGAGCAGGTCTCAGATTCAACCTGGTGGGATATCTTAGAAGCAATTTTCATAATTAAATGTGCCTTTGAATCATCCCCTCTTGTGCGCGATCGGGTGCAACGAACGCAAGCTGTTTGAGTACAAAATACCGCGTGGCTCAATAAACCTAGTAGTACCGTTCAGGCTGAATTATGCTGTCTTAAAATTTCTAATTTAGAACTGGCTCCACCTGCTTCATTTATGCTGTAGGACGTAGTGATGCTAATGTTAAGGCAAATCCAGCTATGGACTACTATGAATTCAATTGCGGTGAGTTGTCTTCACTTCACTGGTTTGTGAGGCAGAACGTAGTCTGGTCGAAGATGGCTGACTGAACTGCCTTTTTTGCAAACATAATCATAGTTTTTAGAGTCGCAATTCGGAGGAATGGCACTTTGCACCAACGAGGGCATCCGATTCATTGTTAACACTAAAGAGCCATATACCGGAGCCATTTACGCGGCTGAAAGATTCTCGACTTGCTCTCAGGTGATCACTTTATTCGGGAACAATCCTAATCTGAGCTTTTGGGCTAATTTCAAATCCAATGAGCTTGCTATGCTACTTGCTATGAATATTTGTTACCGTCGTCCACGGCTGCTCATGCTCTATTTCAAACGCTGAGATCGGAAGTCCAGTCCATCCGCTGACAAACTTTCTCCGCAAGTGGATCGGAAAATGCTCAACCGCAAGATCCGAGTTTATCGTTTTGATCAGGATAGAGGACTGAATGTTTTTAAATGAACTTCGATCCATCTAGCTCGTGTAAATAAAGACCAACGCGTTTCCTTGCGATATCGGAGAAACTTCAAAAAAACTTCAAGAACATGATGTTCTTTGTGTTCCGGGAGTATTTTTACCATTTTCAACAACATATGATGTTATACATGGGCGTGGTGCAAGGGCTATTGGCGCAATATCAGACACGGAACGGTCCCGGGTTTGGATTTCGGATCGATATCCGCTCAACCCAACTAAGCCTTTCAACCCTCCGGAGTCGGCTGATTGATACCAAACCAATTGAGAAGGATGAAAGCGCTGAATTGTTCATCATCAAGCCACAGCAAGTCGTTGCTCTAGCCGAATGCGCATTCAATACTCCACTACGATCCTGAATGAAAGTCGAAGGCGGAGCGCATCCCAAAACGAGATTGTTTGACAATAAAGACTTTATTCTTCACTCTAATAATGTCACGCACGAACTGTCTATTTAAATGTTTTTCAATTGAGGTCGTCGAGAACGCGAAACAAATCAGCATCACCTTCCCGCCACCCACCGTATCATCCGATTGCGGAACTGTCATAAGGGTCAGTGCACTAGCTCGTTAGCAGTGAGATGTCTACAATACACTTTCTGATTACTGTATTTAGGATG